CCTTCCTTCCTTCCTTCCTTCCTTCCTTCCTTCCTTCCGTCATCTTTTTATGCTTTCCAGGGTGATCTTGAACTCCTGGGCTCAAGTGATCTTCCTTCTTTGGCCTTCTGAGCAGCTGGAACTAAACAGAATACAGGCCTTAGCAACCACCCACCTTCTCAGGGTTTCTGTGCACAGCAGTTATTTGGCTTCCATAGGGCACTAAGAGATGATCTTGGCCTGCCCTGTGGCTGGGGCTTGCTTTCCTGTGCTTACATCTCAAGGATGAGAGCCCAGGATTCAGGTGTGTTAGTGATGTACAGGGCATTTGCTGTCAGCAACCCTTCCTGTGTATCCCAGTGTCTGAGGAAGACAGGTTGCTCCCTATCTGTCTTTGGAGGCAGGCCCAGAGGACCTCAGCAGCTCTGGCAAGGTCACTTCTCTCTGGAATCTCCAGAGGTGCTAACTTCCTCCCTACCTTCCAACTCCACTCTTGCTCCCTGACCAGGCCCAGGCTGGGAATCCAGGCCATTTGTCTGTTCAACCTGAGTGCTGCTTTCCTCTCCAGGCTGGCTTCTGTATAGGCACTGCCCTGCGTTCCTGGGGGCTGCAGTTCATGGAGGAGCATTCACAGTCCACCATGGTAATCACAGGCTTTCCTGGGGATGGACCTGGTTGGGCCAACTGGTAGCTGTGGTCAGCCTTGCTGATGGGTGCACTTTGTCCTGTCTACCCAGCTGATCGGGATTGCAATTGGAGCCCTCCTGGCACTAGCCTTTGTCAGTATTGCTGTCTTTTTTGTATACAGAAGGGTTAACCGATTCCGTAAGTATCTTGGTTTGTACTGTGGCTCTAGGGGGAGGGACAGGGCTCGTATGTGTGTGGGTGTGTGTCCATGTCCTATGGGCATTTGGACTCTAGGGGTGTGGTTTTGTTGGAATCCAGGTTCAGGCTGTGGTTTCCAGTCTTTGCAGAGCCTTTTCTGCCTCCCTTTCCTAAGCAAGGATCTAGTGAGAAGAAATGAGATTCCTCTGTGATCTGAGACAGGCACTGATGTCTGAGGGGTGGCTGGGGGACAGGACAGGCAAGAACACAGTTTATCTTCTAGCACCTATATTTCTAGCCCCTGGCCAGTGCTGCACTTTTATTTTAGCTCAGGCAATTTCACCATAAACCCTCTCAGGGCCATGCCCAGGATGGGGGCTTTCCCACTTCATAGTGTCCCTTCCCTCTCCTTGCAGGACAAGTGCACCCCACTCCTCAGTACAGGTTCCGAAAGCGGGACAAAGTGATGTTTTATGGTCGGAAGATCATGAGGAAGGTAATTTGCTCATAGCCCTGGGTGGTACCTTGGTTCTTTCCTGAAAAGCACCCTGGGGAGTGGGGACCACTACTCCCCAGGTTCCTTAAGCTTCTGGTTCCTGCACTCTGGGAGTATGCTGCTTAGGGCTCCATGACCCTTGCTGCTGGGCACAGGATTTTGGGGGGTGTCATAAGTCATGCTAAATATTTTCTGCTTTCCCTGACTAAACCAAATACATTTTATTGGAAATATCCCTGGCCTTGTTGACCTCAAACCACCTGGTCCGGAGGGCTGGAGTAGGGTGGGTGTTTGATTTGAAGCAGTTATCTTGCTTTGACCAGTGCAAGGACAGGAGGCTCTCTGCCCTTGACAATCTGAAGTGCAAGTTTCTGTCAGCATGAAGTGAGGAGAGACAGCTGCTTTCCAGAAATATTTCTAGGGGCAAGTCAGGGGGCATAGAGGGCCATACACCTACCCTCAGATGGGTGGTCTCTACAAGGACTCAGGAGGTTAAGCTGAGCAAAGATCCAATCCTCTGGGGCTGGGGAGCCAAGTTTCCTGATGGCCTATGGAAAAACACTGAAAAGTGTCTCTTGTGGTTCTGGAACCTTCTAAGTACTGAGGGGTGTCTGGGGGACAGGACAGGCAAGAACATAGTTTATCTTCTAGCACCTGTATTTCCAGCACCTGGCCAGTGCTGCACTTTTATTTTAGCTCAGGCAATTTCACCACAAACCCTCTCCGGGCCACGCCCAGGGTATTCCTCCTGTGTTGGGGTATAGGAGTTAGTAGTTAAGGAGCTCCAACCTGGAGATAAGCAGTCTAGGTTGAACCCTTGTTTGCCTGTGCTAATCCTGCCACGTCTCACACCCTGTCGCAGTTCTACAGAAGCCAACAGGTGTGGAGCCACGGAGCTCTGACAGTTTGGCTGCTTGAGGACATCAAGGGCATCCCGTGGTTATGTGGGGCTGTGTGTGTCCCCTGAGTCTGGCATTCCCTTCCCTCAAGGAGCCAAGAGGTGGGGGGGCGGGGATTGTTGCAGATGGCCCTGGAAGCTGAGAGCAGTATGGTAGGCCATCCATGGGCAATTCCTGAGGTCTGGCCCCTGAGTGCTCAGGTCTGCCTGTTAACAGGGTGTGTAACACATCTGTTTGTCCTACAGGTGACCACACTCCCCCACACACTTGTGGGGAACACAGCAGCACCCCGGCAGCGGGCCAGGAAGAGAACTAAGGTGCTATCTTTGGCCAAGAGGTACTGGGAACTTCCTCCTAATGGGTACTGCAAGCCTGTTGGAATCCTCACTAGTGCTGTGCTCCTTCCACATCAGAGGAGCACTGAGGGCATTGGTTTTTAATTCTTCTGTTCTTGCTCAAGGTAAATGTGTCTCTGCTTCTTAGAATTCTACGTTTCAAGAAGGAATACCCCACCCTGCAGCCGAAGGAGCCCCCACCTTCGCTGTTGGAGGCTGATCTCACAGAGTTTGATGTGAAGAATTCTCATCTGCCATCAGAAGTTCTGTACATGCTGAAAAATGTTCGGTAAGAGAGTGATGAGCGCAGGAGGACTTGCCATAGCATGGGCATTCCCTCAATATGCTTCTCCCTGCAGCCATCTCTGTCTTGGCTTTGTTGTATCAGAAGATATTGGCAAGCCAGACTTCTTCCTGCGACTGCTGGTCTCTTTGCCCTGGAGTGGTCGGTTGCTGGGTCAGGCTGCTCCAGTAGCAGGGCCTCATGGTCCCCTCGCCTCCTCACCTGTTCTTAGTGTCTCCATTTTCAGTGGTAAACTCAGAGTAAGCACAGGAAGCGTGTGGAGGGATCAAAAGCTGCACATCTGAGCATCTGACCCTGAGTACCTTTCCTCTTTCTGGTACCAGCACCCTATCCCAAGAGGGCACCTTGGCCTTTGGTTGTTTTTGTGTCTGTCTCATATTCATAGTCATAGCCCCAGAAGTTCTTTGAGCTGATGGGAGTCTCAGAAGTTTAAAATTCTGTTTGACAGTGATGCCAGTCTGCCATTCAACATGGGCAGGTTGATCTGGGTCAGCAATAGATCTGCAACCCTAGCTCTCATGCAAGTGAGGACAATGGCCTGTGTCCTCTTGAGCCTCTTTCAAAGCACATCCCTCACCCCGCCTTCCCAGGGTGGGTGTCCACAGTGCATTCTGCTCATTACAGGGTCCTAGGCCACTTTGAGAAGCCACTGTTCCTGGAGCTGTGCAAACACATGGTCTTTGTGCAGCTGCATGAGGGGGAGCACATCTTTCGGCCAGGAGAGCCAGACACCAGCATCTACGTGGTGCAGGATGGGCGGCTGGAAGTCTGCATCCAGGACGCTGTGAGTCCAGGGCCAGGGGCCTGCAGGACAGGGCTGGGAATACTGTGCCTCCACCCAGCTGTTTGTCAGCTCCACATCAGAAAGTTAGTATAAGATTTAAACTATAGGGCTGGGGCTGTAGCTCAGTGGCAAAGCACTTGCCTAGCATGCATGAGGTGCTGGGTTTGATCCTCAGCACCATGTAAAAATTAACAAATAAAGACATTCTGTTCTTCTACAACTACAAAAAAATTTAAAAAAAAGATTTAAACTGTAACTCTTTGGGGAGAAGGCACACCTTTCTCCCTACAACCAAACAGCTGCTGTGGACCCTGTGTATTCTTTCCCATAATGCACTTGTCTCTCAGCTGGTCTTAGCAATGGTTTTGTTTCTGTTAAAATATTGGTATACTTTAAACATTAAAAGTTTTTCTTCCAGGTCCTCAGAACACTTCTATTAATGATTTGATAGATAAGTAATTATGTTGATATGTCATGATCACTTGATCCCTTTTCCCATTTAAGGTGTTTTTCACCTAGGAGCTAAATATTTGTGCCTTGCTGGTGCCCAGTCTGTCCTTCAGAGGGCAGTTGCTGGGGCAGGATTTCTGGTTGCACTCTCCCTGGTTCTTTTTGTTGTGTTGCTTTCTGAGAGTGTGGTGTCAGTATTTTTTCCTGGTGTTGTCTGACCTAGGCTTCCCCATCACATGCCGCTGTGTAAAGAATGCTTAGGGAGTCCTAGACCTTATGTAATGGCTGCCCCTGACCTTGCAGAACCTGTAGTCCCATTGGTTCCCACCTGCCCTTGTTCTGAGAGTGGGCAGTGGTCCCAAGATAGTTCCCACACTGTCCTTTCTGGTCAGGATTGTTGATTCTTACGTTTGTAGGTTAGTCAATGGCTGGGCTTGATAGGTTAGATAGAAAGGATGGGCTTGGGTTTTTCCAGTCTCCAAGGGTCAGAGCCAGCAAATCCTAGGGCACCTGGCCACCCAGCTGATAAACAGACTCCTGGTCTGATGTGCTAGGGGCCTCCCAGAAGGACTGGAGCCACCTCTCTATGGCCCTTGACCTGGATGTGAGGGACTCATGAGGGTGACCAGTGCCAGATGTGGACGACTTCAGAAGGGACTTTGCTGGGCCAAGCTGAGATGAGCTTTGTATATTTAATCACTAGGTTGCATGTTTTTTTTTTTGTTGTTGTTGTTATTTTGCCTAGTAGAAATTATGTTAGAATTCCATAGTTTTTACTGATAGTAACTAAATTTATTCTTCATAGCCCTTGTAATTAGTCCAGAAAACCAGCTTAGATTTGTGAAATTTCACCCAAATATGCCCAGTGAGGATAGGTCATGACCTTGAGCTGTGGCTGGGTTCAGTAGAGTTTCTTCATCCATTTCATCCCTCCTCTTTTTTTCCTTGTTTCAACCTTATGAACCCTCTGCTTCCACTGACTCCAGCCAGTCTATGCCTTTCATCTAAGATGCCCACTTTGCTTTTTAAAATTTATTTATTTTTATCTGGTGCTGAGATCAAACCCAGGGCCTCACCTATGCTAGGCAAGCACTCTACTGCTGAGCCACAACCCCAGCCCCTAAGGTGCCCACTTTTTGATGCAACTTGGAGATAGAGGCCAGGCAAGCCTCGCTGGTCCTAGCTGGGCCTCTCAATGCCCTAGTGGGTACCCTGTGAACCAAGACTTTCTCTCCTCTTCCTGCACAGGATGGCACTGAGGTGGTAGTCAAAGAAGTGTTGGCAGGAGACAGCGTCCACAGCCTCCTCAGCATTCTGGATGTCATCACTGTGAGTGTCTACGTCACAGCAGGTGCCAGGGTCCTTGGTCCATCGAGGCCTCACTCCTCGTGGTTAGAGGCCAGTTCTCCACAATGACATATGAGGTAGAGGACTGGTCTAGTATGGGAGGGACCTTCATTCTGACCACATGAACTGGTGGGGTCTCCATGGGAACAGCTTCAGTAGTGTGTTTAAGATAGCCAGGCATTTGATAAAGGATTTTAATTGCCTCTTTTTTTTTTCCCTAATATCAGGGTTTGAACTCAGGGGCACTCGACCACTGAGCCACATCTCCAACACTTTTTTGTATTTTATTTATAGAAACAGGGTCATCCTGAGTTCTTAGGGCCTTGCTAAGTTGCTGAGGCTGGCTTTGAACTCGCGATCCTCCTGCCTCAGCTTCCTGAGCCTCTGGGATTATAGATGTGTGCCACTGGACCTGGCTTCAGTTGTCTTTTTTTTTTTTTTAATCTTTATTTTATTTTTTTAATGTGGTGCTGAGAATCGAACCCAGTGCCTCACACATGCTAGGTGAGCATGCTACCACTTGAGCCACATTCCCCAGCCCTCAGTTGTCTTAATTTTAAGAGACTAGTGTTAGACTCTAACACATGCTTGTGCTACAATATTCAAAAGACATAAAAGTTGTAGAGCAAAATGTTTCCTTTTGTCCTCAGGCCCTAGATCCTTCCCAGGAGGGACCTGACACCAGTTTCATACAGATCCTATGTGGCACCTTTCCATTGTCCCATCTTATGCAGCCAACAGCAGTTCTGGTCTTCAGTGTATATCACATTGTATTTGAAGGCCAGGCTATAGGAAAAATTCTTAGGATGAACTCGCTGGGTCTTGGGGAGCACATTTGTAGTACTACAAATGTGATTGCTGGACCCCCACAGTTGCAGAGCTTGGTCCTCCCAGATGTGTGCAGCTGCTCATTTTCCCGCCCTCGCAGCATAGCGTAGCGTGAGTTGACATTTCCTAGTCTGTCAGTTAAGCAAATAGCCAGCGTCTCACTTTTTACTTTCTGTGATGAGCAGTTCCTAATGTGGCATAGAGGCAGCTAGTCAGACCAGCCTCAGCCCACATCTCTGTCTCTCCCTGTTGGCAAGAGTATGATACCCTTCCTGTCTTCTTGTTAAATCCCTTTGGCAGTGCTGGGATTGAACCCATGCTAGTCAAGTGCTTGACCACTGGTAGAGCCTCTGCTCCTTTCTTCTGCAGTGCAGCAGTTCTTAGGTGTGGCATTTGCAGCTTGGAGAACATTTGTTTCCATCTGACTCTGAAGCTGCACTGCAGCAGCATCCTGGGCATGTTGGGCAACTTTGACCCCAGCTCTCTCAACTGTGTTGCCACATCTCTGGAGCAGTGAAACAGAAGCTTGGCAGGGTGTGTTCATGCAGACTGCACAGGGGTTCACAGGCTTCCTAGGGAACCTTGTGGGATGCCTGGGTTAGACTCTCTGATTCAACCCTCAGCTTTGTTCAGGAGGCAGCAGGCTCCAAACAGATGCTGGGGTGTCCCATGTATTCATGTTGCTCTCTGCCAGATTGGCTAAGGCATGCTTTGCACTGTTTAGGGGTCTGGAGGTGTGTCCCCCAGGACTGGTGTGTTTTCACAACACTCTTGGCCTAGGCTGGGGTGGAAAAGGATACCCTTTGTTATTGTAGATGGAAAGCATGTCTTTATTTATTTGTTTATTTTAAGTGTTACTAAGGATGGAACCCAGTGCCTCACATGTGTTAGACTTGCACTCTGCCACTGAGCTAAGCCCTAGCCCTGGACCAGACTTTGAAAGGCCAGCACTCAGTTTTGAGGGAGCCACCCACAGTGGGTGGGGGTTGGGCCAGAGTGGTATCCAGGTGACCAAGCCCATCTCTGTAGTACCCTAGCTGACTTCATGGGGATTCCTGGATGTGTCAGAAGCACTGGAAGCACCAGGACAGGCTTAGAAGCCTTAGTCGTATGGAGGTACACCTGCTGGCATCCTTTCCTCTTTGCTGATTTCTTTCTCCCCCCATCCCCAGGGATTAAACCCAGGGGTGCTCTACTACTGAGCCACATCCCAAGCCCTTTTTATTTATTTTGAGACGAGATCTCCCTGAATTGCTTAGGGCCTCTCTAAGTTGCCCAGTCTGGCTAGGAACTGTGATCCTCCAGCTTAGCTTCCTGAATCACTGGGATTACAGGTGTGGCCATCACACCTGGCTGATTTATTTTTCTTTAAGTAAAAAATAGTTCACTGTAAACTGGGGTGGGGCTTTCTCTGTTATTTCCTGTTCTTTTTTATCCAGATCTTTTGGTTTTCTTCCAGTACTGGGATACCCTTTGCCAGGAATAGGGTGGCAGGCTATGGCCAGGGGCAGATCCCTCCTGTGTCCTCACCTGCTATGGTCCATCCCACCTCTGCTGGTGTCAACATAGCCTGCCTCCCTGGGACTGCAGCACTGGGACAGTGGGAGTAGAAAACAGGGGCTGCACTGGGCATGGCGGTATACACCTGTAATCCCAGCAGCTTGAGAGTCTGAAGCAGGAGGATTGCAAGTTCAAAGCTAGCCTCAGCACTTTAGCAAGGCCCTAAGCAACTCAAAGAGACCCTGTCTGAAAATAAAAAATAAAAAGGGCTGGGGATGTGGCTCAGTAATCAAGCACACCCAAGTTCAATCCCTGGTACTAATAAAATAAAATAAAATAGGGGCTATTATTTGAGATAAAATATACCTACATGGTGAGTAACTGATCATTTAGAGATCAATTAATCTTTACCTATATTGTTGTTGTCTCACCAAAAATTTGTATTTGTCATTTTTTAAAAAATTTAAAATCTTACAAAATGACATGTATGAGTTCTTAAGCTGCACTTATGTCTTTTTTCTAATATTAATTTTTAGGTGTAGATGGACACAACACAATACCTTTATTTTTATGTGGTACTGAGGATCAAACCGGGTCCCACCCGTGCTAGGCGAGTGCTCTACCACTGAGCCACACTCCCAGCTCCATGCACTTATGTCTTTTCTACTCCTGATCTTTCCAACTCTTAGGTTCCTTCTAAGCAACTGCTTCTCTTGTTTAATAATTCTTCCGTCTTAGGTACATTGACTTCTTGTATGGAAAAGGAAGACAGCTTTCTCCTGAGTGCCTAGCATGCTTCACTATGCCTCCCTCCACTGCCTACATTTCACTCCTGATGCATGACTAAGACTATACATCAGATTGACAGCTGAGCCTTGTGGTGTTCTAGGGGTTAAATTTCCTTTCTTGTCAACTTTTGATTTTCCTGAAAATAACAATTGTCTCATTTTTTTGGCTATTTAGGATATTTTTGTGTGTGCTCTCATTACAGATGTATAGCCCAACCCGTGCTCCACAAGGAGTACTTTTCTCTGGGCAAACCTTCCATCTGGGACCCCTGTGCCCTGCTGAGTAGGCTTTATCTCCTCCTTACTGGTCTGCTTTTTTGGTTTGTTAGAGTAGATCCTCTGCTAGTTTTCTGATGAAGGTGCAAGGGAGGTGTGTTTTTGAAAACTTACTTTATTTGCACCATCTTCAGGTTTTTTTTTTTTTTTTGGTGGTGCTAGGGATTGAACCCAGGGCCTTGTACATGCTAGGCAAGCACTCTACCAACTGAACTACATCCCCAGCCCCCTACACTGTGTTTGTATTTTTTTTTTTTAAAGAGAGAGTGAGAGAGGAGAGAGAGAGAGAGAGAGAGAGAGAGAGAGAGAGAGAGAGAATTTTTAATATTTATTTTTTAGTTCTCGGCGGACACAACATCTTTGTTGGTATGTGGTGCTGAGGATCGAACCCGGGTCGCACGCATACCAGGCAAGCGCGCTACCGCTTGAGCCACATCCCCAGCCCCATGTTTGTATTTTTTTTTAATATTTATTTTTTAGTTGAAAACAACACCTTTATTTTGTTTATTTATTTTTATGTGGTGCTGAGGATCGAACCCAGGGTCTTGCACATGCTAGGTGAGCGCTCTATCACTGACCCACAACCCCAGCTCCCCCCCTCCTCCCCCATTTGTCTTTTTATTGTACTTCCTAAGAAACTTTCTCAACTTTTTTGTTGGCGGGGTGGGGGGGCACTGTTGGAGATGGAACCCGGGGTCTTATACATACTAGACAAGCTCTCTACCACTGAGCTACACACCCAGCCTTTTTTATTTATTTAAAGACAGGGTCTAAGTTTCTCAGGCTGTCCTTGAACTTGTGAGCCTTCTGCCTCAGCCTCCTGAGTTGCTAGGATCACAGCCACAGCCACATGCCCAGCTTCAGCTTTTCTTTTGTGGCAGGGGACTTAGGCAACTTTATTTTTTAAATCTTCCATTGAATTTTTAATTTCTGTCATCATATTTTTTAAATTTTATCTTAAGAGCTCTTGCTTTTTTAAAAACCACATCTTGTTCTTGCTGCCGGAGTGAAGTAGGATGAGCTTTGCTGTTGCTCCCTCAGTTGTCCGGGCCTCGTAGTTTTTCTTTTCTGCATGTTTCAGGTTTCGTGTTTCAGATCAGGGCTTTCCTGTCTCCTGAAATCCATTTATGTGAAAGTGAAGCACAGAAACCCATGAAGGTGCATCTCCAGTGTGATGTGGAGTTGGCTCCACCAGATGGAGGGCACACACTGTGGCCCTGCCCTATGGAGGGTGGAGGGCAGAGCCAGCCAGCCCTGTCCCTCAAGGAAGCCACGCTGCAGATGCTCCAGCTTCTTGGCCACATGGTTTCTGTGGCAGCCCCTTTTGCGGCTCCTCAGTTGAAGTGGTCATCAGAGTATGCAAGTGAATAAGCATGGCTGTGTGCCAGTAAGCCCACCATAAGATGTGGTGAGGGGTGTGGCCAGTCTGGGTGCTCTGATTGTATGGTCAAGGTCAGATCCTGGTTTTCTCTGGGGTTGGGTTGGGTGATGGCTAGGGGAAGGGAGGCACAAGGTGATCCATGACTGGAAATGCTCTTTACCTCTAGGGGATGGTAGCTACTGAGTTAGTCATAAAAAGAAACCTAGCTC